TGGCAGAGTGGTCATTTGTAGTGAGCAGATCACTGAACGCTTGAAGGCGAGTGCACATTTCTGGCATGTGTAAAAAGGTTCAGAATGATGTGTTTGAAAGCATCCATTTATTATCACCTGATACAGCCTCATTCCGTCAGTGTAGCGCACACACACTCAAGGGTTTTGGGTGTCATTGAAAGCAGTAGTGTGTGTGGCCCCTCCCCAAGTGTTGAATGCCACAAAGGAGGCATGTGGAAATGCTTGTTTTCCGGCTGAGTAGGTAGGACTGGGACTGTGTGGACCAATGTAAAAGATTGTTAGGCCTTTTATAGGTGTAAGATTCCTAAATCTCCACCTTGAGTCCTAGCTGGACCGCACTAGTAGGTTGTCTCATTGTATTGACATCATAAATATTTGATACAAATTCTCTTGTATGACTTGCTTTCAGAGCACAGAAAGAGCTCTGTTGGGATCTGAGAGGAGGCCAGTTCTCCAAGGACTGAATTGATTGCCCAGTGTGCCAAGGGTCCCTCAGTGGGAATGTGCACAGTAGCTTGGAGTTTACACAACATCACTAGTGGATTTCATCCCAATCCAGAAAGAGCTTTTTGACTCAAACGGAGGGTCAGTGATCAGGGCGTAGTCAGCCTTTTCTTGGAGCGTTTGCCGCAGCAGTGTCAGTGGGGGCCTGTGAGCACAGACAGACGTCCTGCGGCTCTCAGACTGACACAGAAAGTGTCAGCGTGTTTGCTGCAGTATTCTGTTCTGGCCGTGTAAGCTGGGTTTTCCAGCAGATAACTTATGTTGGAGTCTTGTTGTGGCCTGTACGATAAGCACTTGACTCAAATATCAATTTGAACTGCCAGTTCGGCAGTTCAAACTCACCGGCTGCCCCTTGGAAACCCTATACAGGGTTGCTATGAGTCCAAACCGGCTCTAAGTCACGTAACAACAATAGCAACGTAACGTTTTGAGATTTGATTTGATTTTCACACCTAGATACCTTTAAATGTTAGTGATTCTTTGGGAGAGACAAGAGAAACTCTAGTCGGCATTGCCTCTCATCCTTTACTGTTTGCAACCCAGCATTTGGCAGAGTGTTTGCTACACTCGATCCTGGCGGAACTCAGTGCTCAGAAGACATCCTCGGAGCACAGTTACCTGCACGCCCTCTGCAGAGTGTACGTGGGTGTCTGTCGGCAGCTTGGAGACCTGGAAAGAGCTCGTCTGTTTTGCTACAGCATACTGAAAGAAGGTAGGTGTGGACTGTGACCGTTATCTGCTGCTTTTGACCCAGGTGGTGCAGTGAGTTCAGAGAAGTCTGCGGTTCAAACCCAGCATTCACTCGGCAGGAGAAACATGAGGCTGTCTGCTTCCGTATAGATTTAAAGCCTTGGAGAGCCCCGGGTGGTGGGCAGCTCTACTCTGTCCTTCTGGGTTGGAGTCAACTCTAGGACACTGGGTTTCCTGGTCTGTTTTTGTTCTACTTTGCCTCACTTTTGTCCAATTCGAGAGTCTCCACTGGTTTGTCAGAGAGCCTCATATGACTGTGTGTTTGCATCATCCCCGTGGAGCCGCTTTAGGGTCTGGTGGTGTTAATTGTCATCTAGTTGGTGACATAGGAGGGAGATGTTGGACTGTGATTTTTAGCAGTTCACCAGGCCTTTCTTCCACAGAGACACTGGCTGAGTTCAAACAGCCGGCCTTTAGGTTCGTGCAAACCGTTTGTGCCTCCCAGGCTCCTCAGGATCTGATGTGGTCGATAAGAAGTATTATGGAAATGCAGCATCTGATGTCGTCAGATAGGAAGTATTATAGGAAGTATTATGGGAATGATCCTAAAGTCACTGGAAAACCAAGCTGTGATCACGAGGCGGACGGCCAGGGCCTGTGAGCTGAAGGAACAAACTCAGGAAATGTCGAGGGTCTGAGGGAGAGCAAGAGGTGATGTGTGGGGCCTGAGGTATTCACGCCTCATCCTTCCCTTTACTGCTCTTCTCCACACCTGCCAGAGATCGCATCAGGAGTCCGTGAAAGGCCACTGAGACGGAGTTGACTCTTGTACTCTAGACTCCTCGAGACTGCAGGCATTTGCTAGGTTTCTCATTACCTTATGGGGCTTATCAATCAGGCTAGTTGTGTGCACTCCTCACCTCAAGTGTGAAGGAGGCTGCCTGCTCCACGGCTCCGCTTACCCTGCTCTGTAGGGAGCAGGCTGACATAGGCTTCCATGTTGGAGACTGCATGATGCTGCCGTGCCTGTCTGGGGGCACTGTGTGACTGAGAGTCCCACGTAGGTCATTGTAGACCCCCAAGGTGGGGTGGGCATACAGCTGCCGTGAGTGCTGAGGTCCTGGTGAGATTCTTATTCTTCCTCAGAAATAAGAAAGCTCCTTCTTACCTCAACCCTTTCTGACCTGGCTTTGTCATGGTTCACTCTGTATGTCACATGGTGGCAGTGGCCTTGTGTGACTCCTAGTGACCCTGTGTAGGGCTTCTGAGGGCTGTGAATCTTTACGAGAGCAGAAAGCCTCGTCTTTGCCACATGGAGCGACTGGTGGATTTGAACTGCTGACCTTGCAGTTAGCAGGCCAGCTCGTAATCCACTGTGTTACCAGGGCTCCTTTAAGTACCTCTTAGTTATTCTGTATTCTTGACTCTACTCAGTTTTCTTGAGTATCACTCCTGTGTCAGAGTACCCATTGTCTTTCTTTGACTCTAACATGTAAACTTCATGAGGACAGGACTTCTGCTTTCTCTTGTTCGCCTCATTCCTCAGAAGCACAGGTCCCAGGCACATGCCCGTCTGTTGAACGAGTGAGTAACACAGCAGAGGAAGGCGGTGAACTAGTCTGAGGACCAGGGCACGCTTTCCTGTCCACGTGCCTGTGAGCGGAGCTGTGGAGATGCCGCAGGCTTTCAGGGCCTCAGGAGAACAGCTTCTCTTGTACATAGAATTCTTCTGAGTTGAACTGACTTGCTGGCATCTCACTGTAGCAACAACATGCTAAAAGTGACCATTGAACAAAGGAAATTAAAAAATGTCACTGAAAGTAGTTGAAAGGGAGGGACCGTTACTTAGATACACTGTCGTAAGATATGTGTCCAACCTTGCAGCGAACACTATCGCTCAGTGATTGCAGACAGTCTCCACACTAGGAGAGATGTAACCTGCGCCTGGTGGGGGACTCAGCCTTGCTGAGATGTCAGTCCTTCCTAACTCTCCTGTCGGTTCAGTGGCGATCCATTCCGGAGCCTAGCAGCCTTTTTATAGACTTTGATAACCTGATTTGCAATTTATGTGGGCACACAAATGGTCAGAATGACTAAAGCAGTTTTTTTTTAAAAAAAGTATAATAGTATAAAATTCCAGCTATCGAATGTATGGAGCAGCGTCCCGAGACCAGAAATGCCTGGTCAGTCGATGTTTTTGACTAAGGTGCCAGGAAGGAATGTAGATGCAGGATTGTCCCTTCAGCAAACGGTGCTCGTCTTGTCACATGCCACACAGAAGAATTAAGTTGAAATTGATGGTGGAATTCATCATTTAAAAGCAGAATCTGTAACACTTTTCAGAAGAGAAACTTCACCATCTCACCACATAGATGCGTTAGAGCTTACAGAAACTTTGGCCGTCAGAGGACGCCATGATTCATTGGGGTTTATCAGCATTTAGAATGTGCATTCTTCCAAAGACACCATGAAGAAAATTCAAAGGGAGAGGGAGTCAGTCTTCTCAGTACACACGCCTGATGAAGGAAGCGTAGCCAGACTGCATTAGTGATTTCTAGCTCAATGAAAGAAAGCCAGCCAGGTCTAAAGAAATGGGCAACAGATTTTAACAGACAGCTCACACAAGGGAGAATACCAGTGACCGGTACTGAACCCAAACCCAGCCCACTGTCTGAGACACTATCACTCATAGACACCCTGTAGGGGAGGGGACAGTTGTTCCTTGGGGTTTTTCAGACAGCCTCATCTTTCTTTGACGGAACAGCTGGTGAATTTGAACTGCTGACTGTGTAGTAGCCCAGCGTTTAACCCACAGCGCCAGCAGAACTCCTTGCACACACTGTTGTAAAGTGACCTTGAGTCAGTCCCTACTCACAGTGACCCTGTATAGAGTTTCCAAGGAGTGGCTGGTGGATTTGAACTGCCGACCTTGTGGTTTGCAGTCCAGTGCTGATCCTACAGCCCCACACCAGGAGTCCTTGCACCCACTGGTAGTAAGAGGTGAGCGGTGGTGAGGCGTGGAGCACCATGAGTTCTGGCACACCGCTGAGACACTGTGGACTGGAGTCACTCAGATACCCAGTGCACAGTTTTCTTATCAAACGAAGACATCATTTGTCTTATGTCACGGCAGTCCCACAGAAAGTTGTATCCACACAGACTAGTTCACAAGTCCTGATAGCTTCTTACTCTTTATAGTGCATCTGTAAGGACCAAACTGATTTTGCCTACCTAGAAACTGCTTGACTAAACTCTAGTCAGGCTCAGGAAAGCATTTTAAATAGACAAGGCCTCCGTTATTAGTTCCCTCCAGAGGCAAGGTCAATCTCCATTCTGTACATTAGCCTGAACACGTACTCTAGCTCCAAGAATATGATTTATGCATAAATAGCCAGGCAGCTCAAGGCCAGAGGCCAGATGTTTTCCTTTACCCTAGCCTAAGAACAAAGACCACCAGTCCTGACCAATTAAACTGTAACATCTCATAGTTTGCCAATTGTTAACCAATCCAAAGATTGTAAAGCTGAGAAACCTGAGCTGTTTGAAAATTCTATAAAAACCCTGCAGACAATGAATTCGGGGCTCTTTCCCTATTCCGAAATGTCGGATAAGGTTAGAGACCTGGCTCGAGCTTGATTAAACAACCCTTATGTATTTGCATCGGTACACGGCTCCTGGGTGGTCTTTGGGGACCCTGAATTCTGGGCATAACACATCCCTGGCAGGATATGGCCTGTGGGTGGAAAACGTGACGTGTCCCAACAGTTGACTCCAACTCAGCAGTAGACAGGCCCTGAATGTGGACTCTGGGACCACTCTGCCAGCAGGTAGACTGGAGGCCCAGTGGACCAACCCTAACCTGTGACGACGCTCAGGATGTGACCGCTGGTCACAGTGATGCTGAGCACGTGGGGGGACTCGTTCAGATCCACCAAACCATTGGCTGATGGCACTGAAACTCTGCCTTCATTGTTTTGTTGAGGCCATTCCAAAAACCACCACTTATCCCACAACTCCACACCAGGACTCCATGCTGTTCTTAGATTGCTAATCAAAGATCAACTGTAGAATGTGATTAGGCCCTTGCAGCCACAAGATCACTGCCCAGAATCTGGAATGTTACCTGTCTTCAGTCAGAGACCCTGTGCTGTGCAAGGGGTCCCACCTGCGTAAGGGCACGAAGGGGCTTCTGAGCAGAGGGCTGGGTGGGGATGTTTCCCTTTGACTTATTTCTCTTTATTGCTATTTCCATACAAATCCATCTGACCATCTGGAGACATGCGTGTTCATGCATTACTTATGTTAGTAGTGTAGTGACAGCGTGCAGAAGGGCAGGCGGGTCATAAATGTAGTCAATTCTGGAATGGCTGTAGGCAGGGCCTCTGGGCTGTGATTCACATGCCTTCCAGCTGTGACCGGTCATAATGACGCTAATGCGCATAACGTATTCTTAGTCTGTGATGTAGTCACTCCATCACACAGAAAGGCGTGTCATTTTATTTTCTCTCTCGTAGATTTCCCCGAGTCTGACAAACTGACTTTGTTTATTGCAAACATGTGGCACGACATATTTATCTCCCAATCAGTGATTAATAAAGCGATGCAGTTAGTTGCCCGGCAACGAGCTAAAGGAGAGGTCCTGAACTGTCTACGAGCGTTTCTCAACTGGGAGAAGGTGAGCTGTCATTTTCTTTCCTAGAATACTTCAGGAGCTGGCGTAAATGTTACTCGCTTTTGTGTATTTCATGGACATTTTAAAGTGATTATTCACTGTGTTATGTTCCTTTAAAGATCATTTTAGCCTAGGTTTATGCATTTTGTTCATTAAGGATGCGTGAGACGCACCAAGATGAATGGTAGGCCTGTGTGCTTTAATGAAGTGTGTCTGTACACTCCTCTCTGCCCCTGGTGAAATCCACACATGTGCATATGTGCATATGAATGTCCAATAAAAGACTAGGAGAAGGTGCAAGTGTTCTGCTTTTATAATAAAGATTGTATTGGACTGGTGCTGTGGGATAAATGCTGGGCTCTCACAAGGTCAGCAGTTCAAATTCACCAGCTGTTCACTGAACTGTCTCTACCTAGTGACAGGATAGTGTGACCTCAGAGGAGTGTCAGAGAAGCAGCAGCAGCCAGGGAACAAAGAGCCAGAGCAGTAGGCTTCCAGCCTGCGGACAGGAAGGGAAGGAGGCTCACTTGTGGAGTGAGGTGCCTCCCGGTAGTTAACTGCAGAGCGAGGTGTGTTGACCCGCTGTACTAAATTTGAGCACCTTTGGACTGCGGCTTATAATGGAGCATATGGCCCTTTGGGGCATTTGTCAGCAGCCATAAAAGTGCTTTGCAACATTGCTAGAGCAGGGCAGAGACCAAGGACCTCAGGACCGAGAGGCCAAAGACAGAGAGAGTTCTGCTGCAGGCATGGCTGGGAAGAAGCTGTCCTGACCACAGCTGTCCTAACCCTCTCACTTCTCTAATAAACCCCGTAACTGTGAGGGGGGCATCTGAGTTCTGTGTGATGGTTGCAGTGAATTTTCATACCCAATAGAGAAGTAACCAGTGCTGTGGGGGAAGGATGGTTGGTGTCCGATTGGTACAGGAAGGTGGAGCTATGTGTGATCCTTGTCTCATGGCAGTCAAGTGGCTGATGGTGATTCTCCTCCATTCTCCTGTCAAGTCAAAGAGGCCAGGCGTCACCAGCCTCCGTGTCTTTTTGACAGAACAATGTGCTGGGCATTTCTCAAACTGAAGTCACTAAGAAAAATTCAAGCCTAGAGTTGCAATGCTGATGCATTCTGTGAGCAAAATAATGAAAAACACAGAACGCGTCAAATGAAAATGAACGGAATACACAGAATCAGTGTACCAGAAGGAACTAGTCAGTGCTCCACCATTTCCAGAGGTTGTGTATGATGAAGAACCAGCGGTACTAATGGAGGAAGTCCGAACTGTACTGAAGGTGTTATCAGAACACAGGTCTACAGGAGTTGGCAGACTGTAAATTGTAATCTTTAACAAACTGATGCAGCACTGGAGGTACTCATTCATGTCTGCCGAGAAATTTAGAAGACAGCTGCTTGGCCAACCAACTAGAAAAGATCCTTATCTCTGCTCATTCCAAAGATAGCGATAGGCAGGATTTAGAAACTGAAACAAGAATTAAAATATTACCACGGGTAAGTAAGTAAAAGTATGCTGAAGATAATTGAAAAACAACTATGGCAGTGTACGAATGGATGGTCAGAAATTCAAGAACACTTAATTGTGCTCATGTGGAATCTGTATCTAGATAAAGAGGCAGTTGTTCAGACAGAACAAGGGAAAACTATGGTTTAAAAATGGGTGTGTGTGTCAGGGTTGAATCCTTTCACCATGCTTAGTCTGTATGCTGAGTGAATAATCCACTAATCTGGAGTGGACGAAGGCTCATTAGCAGCTTGTGATATGCAGGTGACCTAGCCTTGCTTGCTGAAAATGAAAGCTTGAAGTATTTACTAATGAAGACCAAAGACTTTAGCACCTTCACCTAAAACCAGACTCCTCGCCCTGGACCAGTGAGCAACGTCATGATAAATGGAGAAAAGATTGAAGTTGTCAAGGAGTTCACTTTACTTGGATCTACAATGTCTGTGGAAGCAGCAGGCAATAAATGGAACAATGCAGTTTGTTGGACAAATCTGCAAAAGTCCATTTTTACGTTTTAAGGGGCATAGTCATCACTTTGACGACTGAAGTGCACCTGACCCAGGCCATGGCCTTTCCAGTTGCCTCATTTGTTGTTGTTGTTATGTGCCGCGGAGTAGGTTCCGACTCATAGCGACCCTGTACAGGGTTTCCGAGGCTGTAAATCTTTACGGGAGCAGAAAGCCTCATCTTTCTCCCGTGGAACAGCTGGTAGTTTCAAACTGCCGACCTTGAGGTTAACAGCCCGATTCGTAACCACTACGCTACCAGAGCTCTTTAGTTGCCTCATATTCATGTGAAAACAATTGATTTGGAAATCTAAGATGATTTCTTATAACAAAATCAGGAAAAAAATTATGAAAATTGGTTTTCAACGTAGAATACTTAGGCCAGTACTTCCAGATCAGTAGGAAAATTTACTCTAGAGGACAGATGTATTGGTTTACCTATATTTATTGTTACACGAAATTAACTGCCAGTTATTTCAGGCATAAGAAAAGATGGAAAGAGCTGTTCAGTTTCAATAACAATCCAATGTCATTTAAGACATCAGAAAGAAAAAAAAGGTATGGTATTCACTGACATGTTGAGATGTAACAACTTTTACGTAGTGAAGTAGATTTCTGTGATGTATCTAAAGAGTAATATTCTGTAGGTTCTTTAGAATTTAGAGAAATCTTGGAATAAAGATGAAAACCCATGATATTTCTAAACTAGAAAATAGAAGGAAAGTTATGACGCCTCCTGCTGCTGGCTAACGAGCAGTATGCGTTGTCCCCAGTGGTGGATTGCTCACTGATTTCCAGATTGATTCCCGAATAGGAAGTCTTCCTGTGGCATCGTTGGCAGCATTTCTGCATGTTGTTGTCTTCAGTGTGGTGTGGCGTGGTACCTGAGTTTCTCCCAGTGGAGTTATTAAAATCTGGAAAGGTCTTTTAAGTCTAGAAATTCCAAAATTTATGATCTTAAAAGCTTTTAAAATAGCTCTCTTATTTAACAGTGTTAAAAATTGAGCATCAACTTAAGCCAAAGTTATCATTTCTATGCATAAAAGGCCTTTCCAGATTCTAATAATTCCACTGGGAGCAACTCAGGGACCATATCTCACCACATCACACACTGAATGGTGTAAAATCAATCATGTATTTAAACCATTTATGTCTGAAATAACTGTGCACCAAGGTTGTATTCTTTCACCATTGTTTCACACATTCTGTATGCTGAACACATAATTTAAGAAGCTGGATTACATGACGAAAAAGGTGGCATCAGGGTTGGAGGAAGACTCATTAACAACCTGTGATATGCATATGATACAACCTTGTTTGCTGAATCTGAAGAAGACTTGAAGTACTTACAGTTGAAGATCAAAAATCACAGCCTTTGGTATGGGGTGCACCTCAATGGAAAGTAAAAAAAATCCCCACCACTGGACCAATAAATTACAACAAGATAAAAGGAGAAAAGATTGAAGTTGTCAAAGCCTCCAATGTCTTGCATCGACACTCATGGAAACAGCAGTCAAGACACCAAACGACAGATCGCGTTAGATAAATCTGCTGCACAGGAACTTTTTAAAGTGTTGAAGAACAAGGATGCCAGTTTGAGGACTAAGGTGCGCCTGACCCAAGCCACATTATTTTCAGTAACCTCATGTACATGTGAAAGCTGGACAGTGAATAAGGAAGACCGTAGAAGAATCGATGCATTTGAGTTATGGTGTTGGAGAATACTGAAAGTGCCGTGGACTGCCAAAAGCACCAACAGAGCTGTGTTGGAAGAAGTACAGCCAGAGTGCTTCTTGGAGACCAGGATGGCCAGACTTTGTCTCTCATACTTTGGACCTATTATCAGGAAGGAGCAGTCCCAGATGAAGGTCATCATGCTTAGTAAAGTGGTGGGTTGAAGAAGAAGAAGACTCCCCCCAGTGAGATGGATTGGCACAGTGACAGCAGCAATGGACTCCAGTTTGTAGCACTGATTGTGAGATTGGTGCCCTACCGGGCATTGTTTCATTGTGTTGGACATAAGATCTATATGAAGGAGCTCTGGTAGCGTAGTGGTTACGAACCGGGCTGCGAAGCGCAAGGTCAGCAGTTCGAAGCGACCGGCTGTTCTGAAGAAGAAAGATGAGGCTTTCTGCTCCCATAAACATTTACAGCCTCAGAAACCCTGTACAGGGTCGCTATGAGTCGGAACTGACTCCACGGTACTTAACAACAACAAAGGTCTGTTTGAGTTGTAACCGACTTGATTGTTAAGTGCCGTCGAGTTGGTTACAACCCTGTATAGGGTTTCTGAGGAGTAGCTGGTAGGTTTGAATCACTGACCTTGCCTTGCAGTCTAGCAGCGCATTATCCTGCAGTGCCACACCAGGACATAAGGACACATCAGGTAAATTACAAAGGTAACAGCTAAAAATAACATTAGCTTTAAAAATAACTTTGATTGGCATTCTGTGAAAGCCTACATTCTAACACATTAAAATTCACTAAACAGTCCTGTTTACAAATTTCAAATATTTAATTTTTTTAAACTTTTTAAAGTAAATCATACATTTAAGATGTATTTCTGCAAAACACTTCAGACTAGACTTTCGGATCTAATAAGCACAATGTTTCTAACTATTTCTACCACTCTTGAATGTATGTGGTCCCATGTAAAGTGTGTACTATCAGAAGCAGTAAATGTTTAGTCATTGTCTATGAACTTCCCTGCACTTTCTTTACACACTGAAGTCCTGGTGTGGCTCTGTAGGGTAAGCATTTGACTGATAATCACAAGATCAGCAATTCCAATCCACCAGCCAGTCTTCAGAACCTTAGACAGGGTCACTGTGAGTTGGAACCGACTTGACGGCATTTCGCAGCAGCTGACACACCTGAGGGACCCTGGTGGCACAGTGGTAAAGCACTTGGCTGCCTGCCTCAAGGTCAGCGATTGGAACGCACCAGCCACTGTGCCAGCCTCGCCATGGGAGAAACGCTATGGGAGAAAGCTCTGCGCCTGTGCAAACAACAGCCTGGGGAGCCCGGGGGCGTTTGCCTGCTCTGGGCTCTGGGCTCCCTCTGAGTCGGGCTGGTCTCCATGGCATCAGGTTTCCTCTTTGGGCTTTGGTTCTAGAAGCCTGATTACAGTCATGATTCTCAGAAGTGTAATCCCAACTGCACCGAACCCGAGTCTTCTGTCCTTCACAACAGTATAAACTACACGCATGCATGTCGCATGTTCCCTCATGCTCACCAGTCCCGGAGAATTGGTGTCTTATATATATTTCTGGAAGAGTTCGTAATAGGGCCTTCAGTTTCCTCCTCATGTATACATTTAGTTTTATACCTTCTAGAGAAAAAACTATATGGAAGATAAAAGCTGTTTTATGAAGAAGTTCACAAAGTTGCTTCCCTATCCAAAGAAATCTCATTGCTCTTGAGTTGTAATTTATATACTCGAACCATTTCACGAAATGCTGGTGGGAGTGTAAACAGTCCAGCCAGTCTAGAAGATACTTGGAAAATGAGCTACAATCTGAGCCAGGACCCAGCCGCTGCACCCCGATGGACAGACCAACGAGGAGTGAAATGGACTCTAAGCCCTGCAACTTCTGATACAACCACACGTCATCGAGGTTAGAATGCAC